GCATGCCCTTTACTAGCATGTGATTTTCCTCTTTGATGTTATGCGTGATCTTGGCTTAATTGGATATAGCTTTAAAGACCTACAAGGGCTCTCTGAAAAAGCAGTTCTGGTGATTAAATCTAATGACTGGTCAGAACTGGAATCCTGTACATTTCTCTGCCTTCCACCAGCTGTAGGGAAGCCAAACTGCTGCTAGTCTTAATCTTACGGTTTCTTGTTGATTTGTTTGTTTCCCCTCTGGCACCCTAACCCAAGGATAAACCAAACCACAGGTCAGCGCTTGTGAATTTCTTCATTTTGGAGACATTGAGATTTAGGAGGAGAACTTGGGTTTGGATTACAACATGAGCTATGGTTCTTGTTTAGTTACTGTAGTGGAAATTTACTTTTGAAATTTACTTTTGAAAAACAGCACTTAAATTATCTCTGTGACTTTGTTTATGTTGTAGTCTCTATAACTTGAACTGTCTTTTCCTTGCTCTTCTGTAAAGGAGGTGCTAGTACTTAGCAGTTATAGCTGATAGTGCTCACCTTTGTCAACCACTGTATGTTTGCAGCTGTGATTCTTCACAGTACTCTCTTTGCTTCCTAATAGTCAGTGTCTTAATCTTCATAAACTACTCCTCTGCAGTATCGCTGTTGTAGTTAGCTGTGACATTAGAGGGGATAAAAGCATTGGAAAGGGACAGTGGAAGAAGGTCCACCTTATACAAAAACCCAACAGACACCAGATAGACAATGAGCAAGGTAAAAGCTATGACAACACGTTGTGGAAGCAGAGTTGTCATATTTCTGCCACTTCTACCACTGACAACAGAGTATCTTTTCCATAAGGCATCAACAAATCTGTAACTTCAAGTCAATATTTGTGCAGACTTATCATGACTGATTCCTTTCATGGCCAAGTGCTGTCTGATGCAGTGTCCTGCATTTGTTAGGTGGAGGAAATGCTTCCTTTTTGAGAAGTTCAACCTACATATTGACACCAATCTAAGCCTGATGATGAATGATAGAGAATGTAGATGTAGAGCATAGTAAATGGTGAGGTCAGAAGCATTTCAAGATGTGACATCGTGATTTTCCATGAGACTTAGGTCTTAACTTTAGGTTACTGCATGGTTGTCAGAATTGCCATGTTAGCTTTGAGCTTCCCAAAGCTCAGTGTGGAGATCCTCATGCCTGTGAAGTAAATATGGGATTATCACTATTCATGTAGATGGGAGCCTGAAAGCCCTGAGGCTTTCTCTGCCATGTGAGGATGGTGGGGCATACACCTACTCCTCCAGCTGTGGAGGTATATCTGTGGCCAGACTTGATGCAGCTATGTTCTGAGGATTGTGTTGGATCTGAATCAAATCTGTCAAGTCTGATAAAACTGCTGTAGTCACTCTGTCTCTCCTTCAGGCATTTCTAGCTAAGTGTGTTTTAAGTGTCTCAATAAAAATTGCTTAATTTAAAAACTCCCTTATTATAGAATAGTACTAGTAGAAACAATTAAATGTTTACAGTTAATGGACCAGAACTAGGAAATTTTAGGCTCTGATTTGGACTAACTTTTTTTTCTTTGAACCTGGTTACCTTTCTATCACATCAGGTTTTATTTTCCCTCACTTACAGGTTTTTTAAGGTTTTCTTCTTACAGTACCTGTAATTTCCCACTACAGTACAGAACCAAGTTTGTCATATCCATGTAATTAATCTATGTCAGCTTTTGGTTATGACTCACTTGTTAATTTCTATTTGTTTTAAAAGTATAGAGTGTTTAATTTTCTTTACAGACATCTTGATGCTTTATGTTTGCCACCTGTTTTCAATACATTTTGTGTTCTGGTGCATCATCAATTTATAATAATGTAGGAAGGTTGTTTGCTCCCACTGCACAAACCTCCATATTCAGATTTTATTCATTATCTATTAGTTATGCTTTGACAACCAATTCTAAAACAAACTAAAAAAAATGTGTTAATGGAAAGTGATGTGTTTTGACTGCAGTGTCATTACTGATAGGGATCCTACAGTAGTCTGGTAGGTTGAAGAACAGTCTTTCCTGAAATGTAAGCTGCAGTATCCATATCATTGATTAAAGAAAGTTAGCATGGTGAGAAGAAAGTATACCAGTAGGACAAAGCTTGTACATGCTAATTATACTGTCAGTGTGCGTGAGTTGTAATTACACATACACTGTAACCTGTAAGTGGAATATGCTATCATATACTGATGGATTTTGTTTGAAAAGAGGCAAAAACTCTTGTCTTCAACTCCAAGAGGCTCTTGAAAGGAAGCTCAGGCAGGTATGTTCATAAGACCAAGTGGAGCAGGATGGCCAAGTACTACACCTAAGCAAGAGTAACCCCAGGGAAGCAGGACCTGGCTGTCCTGGGGGCAGTAAGCTGGGCACGAGCCAACAGTGGACCAGACAGCAAGGAAGATTTGACAGCAATCTGGGCAGTATCAGCAGGAGCAGAGTCCAGGTCTTCCCAGGAGGGAAGTGATTAAACTCCTCTGTTTAACATTTTGAGACTATATTCTAAATATTTTGTCCTTTAAAAAACAAAGCAAAACAAAATCCCACCAAAAACAGACCGTGGAGAAAATACTGTAGGGGGTTGAGCCAAAGGGTCAGTGAGGTGCTTGGAAATTAGAACACATGTCCTTGGAGGAAAGGCAGAGCAAGTGGGGCTTGTTCAGCCAGGAGAAGGGGCAACTGGGAGGACAGTGAACAGAAGACTTCTTGTATATTAAGAAGTACTTTGAAATCCCCCACCTTTCATCATCACACAGATTCCTTCACTGACTTTCAGTGGACCTTCCTCCTTAATTCCACTGCTTTAAGAAGGAGGGTATAATAAATGATAGGACTTGAGGATTTTCTGTGTGTTGACCAGCTGCAACCCTTGACTCAAGACCAACCCAAATTCAATTAATACTCCTCTCATCCCCATGGGCAGTTTGCAGGAGGTTGGGAAGGTATGTAAGAATTAAGAAAAACTACTCTAACTCCTCTGCCAGCCTGAAGAGCCTGAACTTTGTGGACACCACATCAGTCAGTATTTTTCTAAGCTTGACTCACTCTGAAATTTCAAGAATTCCTTCTTTAATTGCTAATTGTTGGGCTTTGGGTTTTGTAAAACATGAAAAAAAGTGAGCTAATAAAGAGTGACTGTGTGATGTTCATTCCCCTTACCTACTGCTGGTTTTGGCATCCACAAGTGTGGGTACCATGGAAATCACAAAATGTGCTGCTCTGCATCTCAGAGTCTTTCTGGATGTCTTAGCAGGACATCAGTTACCCTCTCCAGTTATTTCCTGTGCTACAGGAAAAATAATTGCTTTTAAATACAAACCCCAGACCTTCCATATGGGCAACTTGACACCTGCCGTAACATCCCCAAGCATATGCAAGGCAACTGTCCCCTCTACAAATGAGGTGTAGGTTACCTTTCTGTTACAGGAAAAATGTATGCATTGAAGGTTACTGTGAAGGGTGCTTTGATCTGAGTGCCACCTTAGCTTGTGTAATTGTACTTTATGGGTGAATGAAGTTTTTGGGTCAAAATCAAAAGCTCACTAGCTCAACTTTGGGCTTTCATTAGAAAAAGCAAACCAAAACAACTCTGTTTTTCTGGTTGAGTATTTTTAAACCAGCAGGAACTGTGTGCTCAGCAAAGGGCACAATTTGACTTGCTACTTTTTATTTTTTTCACATTATAGTGTACATCATGGGAAAATTGAGGTAGTTATTTGGTCTTTAATTTCTGGTCATGACTGCCTCAGGGCTTTTCAATGTATTGCTATATATAGAAATAGAATTGCTTTGCTTCAGCCCCAATACTGTTCAGCAAATGGTGGTCTCAAGGGAGATCTTCCTTCACAGATGGCATGCTTGAAGGTTACTGTAATGCTGTGATGGCCTGCTCTGCCCTTTGAAAGGGAGAGGCAAAATAAGCTATGAAGACTAGCAATGATACCCTCAGATCAGGGTTGAAGTTAATTCTATCAAAAAAACTCTTATGTTCTTCGGAGCTTAATGTCAAATGCAGGTTTCCTGCAGTTCATCTGGCACATTTCACCTTTCATGCCAGGATCTTTTTTCATGCAAAAAATTTATTGTGGCTAAAGCAGGTACTGACAACATAATTGGTAATACATCATAGGAATGGACTTTGTTTATATCGAAAAAATTAGCAGTTTGCTTTAGGAACAAAATTGTGAGTTATATTTATTAATTATATTTAACAATATAATAATATCAATATAATAAATATATTTATCAAATTTTTGGTCCCCAGTGTGTAAAAATAATGTTTAGATGCTATTGAAAATGATGCAGGAAGCAAAATTTTTTTTAGATAATTAGGCATTAGCCAAAAAAGATGGAGATATGTATCACTTCCACATCGGAGGTTTTGCGATGGAAAATCCTATTTGTGTTATTTCTATGTTTTCTGTGCCTGTGGCCTTACAAATGATTTACAGTGTTTGATTTTTGATGCTTCTGAGCATTGTTGTAAAATATGTCAGCACTGTATTTCCATAAGAGCATCATCAAAGGTGAAATCATAGAATTGTAGAATCAACCTGGTTGGAAGAGTCCTCCAGGATTACTGAGTCCAACCCTAATGTGGTTACTAGACCATGGCACTAAGTGCCACATCCAGTCTCAGCTTGAAAACCTCCAGGGATGGTGAATCCACCACCTCCCTGGGCAGCACATTCCAATGCCTGAGCACTCTCTCTGTGAAAAATCTCTTCCTAATATCCAACCTAACCCTCCCCTGGCAGAGCTTGAGTCTGTGCCCTCTTGTCCTGCTGCTGGTTGCCTGGGAGAAGAGACCAACCCCCACCTGACTCCAACTGAGCATTTTGTTCTTAGGAAAGGAGTAGCTCAGTTGTCCATGCATTTAAACGACCTGTAAATTTTGTGGGTTGTTATAGAGGGCACAGGCTCCTCAGATGTTTTCATGGTGCTCAACCAAGTCACATCTTTGCTTTTGGTGCAGGTATTTTTGGGCAGAAGCTGGAAGACACTGTCCGCTACGAGAAGCGCTATGGGCAGCGCCTGGCTCCCATGCTGGTGGAGCAGTGTGTGGATTTCATCCGACAGCGGGGGCTGAAGGAGGAAGGCCTTTTCCGACTGCCTGGGCAGGCTAATCTTGTCAAGGAGTTACAGGATGCATTTGACTGTGGAGAGAAGCCTTCTTTTGACAGGTAAAACCCTCCAGCTGTTCCCCACTCCCTGAAGCCTAGGCAGGACACGATGTGCTGTGCTGGCTGAGCCGTGGTGCTGTAGAACACATGGCAGCAGCAGAGGGAATGACATGTTTTTGTAGGTTTTTCTGTGTGTTTCCTATTATCGCTCAGAAGTGTCTTCTTTTTCTTTTTTTCTTTCCCCTGACTTTGATGTCTGATTTCAAAGCATTTCTGGAGAATTTCCTTTTGTGAAAAACTGGTTAGGGGAAGTATTGCTAATGGTTTGGCTTAATCAAAAATATCTGGATTGCCTTGTTCTTAATATAATTTGAAATGCAGTGGTGATGCTGGTGTTTATTCAGTTCTACAAAGGAAGAATTTCTCTTATCACCAATTTCAGTATGTTCTGTTACCTATAAAACTGACTGGAAGGGAAGTATGCTTTTATGCATGCCTTTATATTTTGGGCCTTTGATCTTATAAGTTGCTCTGACCATAATAACAAACCTATGTGGTTTCGAGGGTCCGGGTTCAATTTGTATTCCAATATTTATGCAGTTTTAGAAAATTACTGAGAATTTTCTGGGCCAAGGAAAACCTAGTCGTGTTCACACAGCTGTGTATGGCTTTAGTCTTCTGTAAGGCTGATTTTTTGTGCAAGTTCAGCTCTCTTCCTATTAGCATTGATAGTGGTAGTCCACATATTCAGAGTGTGCAGAGAAACAGAACCAGTGGATTATGAATGCCACACAGACCTTTTTAACTCTGGTCAGAATTAATTGAGGATAATGAAATTCTAATTCAAGAGACTGATGAAACAGTGGTTGCCCTCAGCATGTGACATCAGTGTAACACCTCCACAGTGGAATTGGGATACTTCACTCCAACTGAGGGTCCAATGTGAATTAGGAAGTAGAGACAGATTGCATTTATTATGTGGGACCTTTGTCTTGATAGCAATCCAAGTAACAGGAAGAAAAGTACAGCTTGATCATTGAGTGCAAAAAGAGGCCATGATTTGAACCTGATTGCTGTACATCATTTATGTCACTCCATTCTCTATTCCTGTGAAGTGAGCAAATTTGTTAAGCCTGAAGGTTTGTGTATCACAGATGCACAGAAGGCAGGCACCTGTAATGCTCTTTCATCTCCAGCGAGTTCCTCAGTCCTGACTCTCACTTGAAAAGAAAAGTTAAGAATTTATAATGCTCTGGAAAAGAAAAGTGAATTGTTTTCCTATGAAGTTCATTAGTTTCTCATTGGAAGGTGAGAGTTAGGATAATTAATCAACTAATAAATAGCTTTAAGGAGTCAGAGGACTGTGGGAAGTGACAAGTGTTAGCTGATAAATGTTTGTGGCATACTCACTATTCAAATACTGTGTACCTTGTTTAAAATGGTAAAGAAACATCTATTGGGTATGTTTCCCTTTCTTGGACATTAAGATAAATATTACTGATCATCTCTATCTCTGCCAAAAGTACAAGTAGGCGAATGGCAGAAACAAAAGGTTAGGGTTTTTTTCTGTGCCTGTAAGCCAAATAATTGTTGAGGAAATGCTGAAAGAAACAAGCCACCCCCAAACTCCAGGAAGATGATGTACTGAACACCCCACTGAGAGGTACAGCTTGAAGGAAGCGCACAAGTTCTAACTATTCAGAGCAGATGAGACCAGGGCTCAGCCACAACGTCTTTTTTCTTTTCAAGGTTATCTAGCAACATCTGTAGCACACACTAATTAGCCCGATGAACAGGTATGCTAGCTGAGCTTTAGCAAATGAAAAGGAGATGAGATTTTACATGGTACTGCTGTGAAGAATGCACGTAATGTCTACTCTAGCAATTAGAAACACCAGCAGGAGCTGCCTATAAATCGCTGCTCCTGCAGCTCTGCTTCTGAAGCTGAGAATTTATAGAACATCGACCTTGGCCGTCCACATGTCTTCTGAAGGGGACTTTTCCTGTTTACTTTTTCACATTGGAGTTTGGAGAGGTGTGATTTAGGTGTAGCAATGGTCCAGAAGTCAAGCAGATATAAATTCTGCTCTGATCTCTACATTTTTTTCCACTGGGCATCTGCTTTTTTCCTCCAACCTTTTGTTCCATTTGTAAACTTTGGAGGTGAAGTTCATTTCACAGTGTTTATAATGTGTCTGTGTGATTACCTTGTTCAGGGGTAACTTTTCATTCAGCTGAACAGCAGCGTGGTCTGCAGGTTAGATGCAACCTGTCTGGCAAGTTGAGGTCTTGGAAAGTGGCCACAATCTGAAAAGTGCTGTAGAGAAAGAAATATCTACATTAGGCATCCATGTTACTTTCTCTCCTGACCCTCCAGATCCACTGTGTTTAATCTGTAAATATGTGTTCTTACTAGTCAAAAGTCCCCCAGTGCAAAATCTACCTACCTTCTGTTTGTTCATTTACATTTTGTCCCTGCTTATACATCAGTAGTAATAAAGGTTTTTACAATTATAGCAGAGCAGACGTTTTTGTTCACGGGGCACGAAACACAATGGAATACAGGTCACACTTCCGTAGCAGTGCTGGGTCACCAACTCTGACTGGGAGAAAGACTAGCTGCTGTCGTCAGTGTTAGAACTAATACAAAGAGCTGATGTTTGAGGCGTTTACCATTTTTCATAGTGACCTTTTTTTTTCCGTGTATAAGTGCACCTAAGTCAAACAAAAACTTTAGAGCAAGTGAGGATGCTTTGAAATGTATGTGTAGGCTTGTGTATGTGTTTGTGTGATAAATTGCCATCAAATAATCCTCTCTTTATACTTTCTTAGCCAGTTCAGTAAAATATGGAAAATGTAGAATTAAAAGCAAAACCAGAGGTGAGGTCATACAGCCAGGGTTAGAACTCGTTTAAAATGTCATTTTTGTTTTAAGATGGTTGCACAGCTTAAAACACCTTACAGGTGTTGCGAGATTCTGCTCTTTGCCTGAGTTCAACTGCTGTCCACAGTTCTGTGGAGACCCCACCCTTCTGCCCTCTTGCCTTCCTATCTGCACCCCTATCAGAACCATAGAATTTTAGGGGTTGGAATGGACCTTAGAGGTCATCCAGCCCCAACCCCCTGTCCTGGGCAGGGACACCTCCCACCAGAGCAGGTTGCTCAAGGCTCATCCAACCTGGCTGTGAACACTGCCAGGGCTGGGGCAGCCACAGCCTCCCTGGGCAACCTGGGACAGGGTCTCACCACCCTCACAGGGAAAAAGCTTCTTTGTAATATCTACCCTAAATTTCGCCTCTTTCAATTTGTACCCATTGCCCCTTGTCCTGTCACTGCAGCTCCTAACACAGATCCCTCTGCAGCTTCCCTGGAGCCCCTTCAGATCCCGGAATGTGCTCTGAGGTCTCCACACAACCTTCTCTTCTCTAGGCTCAACAGCCCCAACTCCCTCAGCCTGTCCTCACAGGGGAGATGCTCCAGTGCTCTTAGCAACTCCGTGGCCTCCTCTGGACTTGCTCCAGCAGTTCCATGTCCTTCTTACATTGAGGGCACCAGAACTGCACACAGTATTCCAGGTGGGGTGGGCAAGGAAGACCACAGAACAAATCCAAGCAGAAGAAATATAGCAAATTTGAAATAAGAAGTAAAATAGCTTTGCTCAAAAGAAAATGCAGCCATGTTTTGAAACATCAAACACATTTGACAAATGGTAGCTCTCACACTGGTTAGCAGCTGAAGTCAGTTACAGAATTGCAGAGTGAGGCCAGGACAACTCAGAGAGTGGCAAAAAGCTTAATGTATTAATTGTTCTTTATCTTACTCTTGGAATAAGATGTTGCTGGAGAATTATGTGTGAGAATGGAACTAGTATTTAAAATTTCTCAAACTCACAGACTGAGAAAACCCAGTATATGATCTGAAACATCCAACACCATAGGCCCCCTGGTATGAAAGCTGGAACAGCATCATTTCTCACAGTCTTGTGCAGCTGCAACAATTGAAAAATGCTGAGACCTCAAAATTCTATGTCAGCTTAAAACCAAAAATCAATAACTACCTCATTCTCTCAGAATATATCTGCACATATGGTGAAATTTGCTTTAAGGAGCCAATAGTGCAATTAGACAGTCACTCATGTTTGCTGCTGTTTGAAATATCATTGGTATTTCCAAGACAGCTCCATCTCTGTGTAAAATTTCTCCCTCCAGGGAATCCATTTTGCTTGTCCTTGGGGTATTTGCTTTTCCCTTCTTATGTGGCTTATATTTTACATATAGAGTCCCTCATCTCCTTTACAAATCATACATTTGTAATGATACAAAGTGGATTATGACCATTTGTTCTGTAAAATTAGCATAGAGAATATGGCACTGCATGTGGAAAATATCATAAGGATTTGTTCTACAATTTTTACCTAGGAGGGGTAAAAAATTGGATTTCTCTTTTATTACTTCTTACCATCTGCTGTTCATCACAATTACTACCAGATCACATGCAAATTAAGATTGCCCAGGGAGAAAATATGTTTGAAATGTCACTTAAACAAACATTAATAAGAAAATTAATATGATTGATTGATGTATGGGGCTTAGATGTTCGTAACTATCTCTGATGTATATAGTTCAGTAGTTCAGAGGAGTTAAAAAATCACATAGCTCACCTGCCATCATTTGTGTGTATGCACAAGAGAGAAGGAAAGCACATAAATGCATATTTAGCAAAGCAAAATCCTGCTACGTTCTCGTGTGGGTATGAATTCCTGCTCTAGTCACCATTGCAATCAGCTGAGCAAAGGGTACATAAGTGGCAGCAGGTGATAACAAATGCTAACTGTTATTTACTGGAGCCAAATAATCCAGAATGTAGAACTGGTCTGTTCCTATGCATTTCATCCCTGAGAATGTTGAAGCAAAATAAGACAGTGACAAAGATGGTAAAAATATAATATTCTCAAGGTGAGAAGGAGCACATGGACAATGCTTATTTTCCTCCAGAGACAAAGAATGTTTTAAAGTTTTGGTGATTGCAGGAAATGGGACCTGTGTCAGTGGGGCTGATTC